ATCTACAAATTTAAGTCATTTATTGATCATTCCTTCATCTATGTTACTGATGTAAATCAAAAACTAAAGGTCGGTCCTAAAACTGAGCCCTGAGGTACCCCACTTGTGACATTAATCCACTTTGACTGAACTCCCTCTGCTTTCTTCCATTCAGTCATTGTTATATCCAATTTGCTAACTTATCCCCCACACCTATAGGGCTAATTTTTTTACAAGCCTTTTATGTGACACCTTGTCAAATGCTTTCTGAAAATCCAGATACATCAAATCTACACAAGCTGTAACCTTTTCAAAACCCTCGGGGGAAACATTGTCTGGCCCAGGAGCCTTATTGTTCGTTAAACTTCCCAATTTTTTCTTACCAGCTCAGAATTAATGTAGTCATCTTGTTTGATCTCGTTTCCATGTATTAACTGTTTAAGATGTGGAATACTGCTTTTATCTTTGTTAGTAAAAACCAAAGAAAAAGTAAAATTTAATAACCCAGCCATCTCATAATCATCAGATAATAGCCTTCCTTTATCATCCCTCAAGGGTCCTACCTCCATTCTAACATTTTGTTTACCCTAATTTATTTACAGAAATCCTTAATGTTATTTTTTTACATTTTCAGCCAACCTGTTTTCATACATCTTTTTTGATGTCCTAATTTCCTGTTTCAGCAACTTTCTTGATCTTCTATAATCTTCTAAATCCCCTGTCATACCAGTCAATTTAAAGTTCTTGAAGTTATGATGCTTTTCTTTAAATTTATCTCTAAACTCTTTGTGAGCTAACCTGGTTTTTTACTTGCTTCTTCTCTTTTTTTTATACTGTGCATAAATCCACACCAATTTATCTTTTGTTTCAAATTAGGACAACTTTGAAAAATTTGTCTCATTCCTGCCCCACTCTTACACAACATTTTAAAACAAAAAAGTTTCTTTCCCCAGTTTCCTGATATTATAAATATTTATTGAATCATCTACTGAATGAACCTTTACCTTCTGAGAAGCTTACAGTCATGACTACTATTCAGGGCAGTGGATTAGCAAATTAGATTGTTTATGGAAAGTGGGAGTGAAAAAACTTTTGTGACTGTGGTGATGCACTTTGTTTTATTGCCCGTAATGGTGCAAAAGGGAGAATAAAGAGAGGGCAAGAGGTTTGGCATAACTCTAGGCAATTGTAAAAGTATCAGGGAGGTTTCAAGTCTACTAAAAGTTAGCGGGATTATTTCAGGCCCTCTTGAAAAAAAGGTGAGATGGCGTCCAGCCCCATGTGAAGCACTGACTTTACATAATAAAGACAACATAGTTATTATTCTAATATTTGGTTTAGAACACAAAAGGGATAAAATGGACATTTTCTCCTCATTCTGTTTGAGCAGTGGCTAGATCACTAAACCCAACAGTGTGTCATTCTGTGCAGTTTGGCCTATTTACACATGTAATGTACTGTAAATGCACTTTAGAAAAGTGAACTGTTACTTTAAAAATGCACCATCTTGGTAATAGTAGACATCGATACAAATTCCACAACCAGTAGAACCTAGTTTATGATGTGACTGGAACCTAATCGAGATATATGTGGAACCAAATAAAGTTCTTTGAAATTTACACAAAAGCTACTTCATGCTAAAATTAACATAAACAAGAAAAGTGTTACTTTAAATCTGATTTAAGTTTCTTATTGTTCAGTGCTACAGTTGAAGTTTCTGTACAAAATCATGTATGTTTGTTTGTCTTGTTTTCATTAGTGAGACATAACATTCAAGTACATAGGTTTAAATGATTCTACACAGTTGAGTGTTTTTCAACTCGTTGACGTTCATAAATAAGATTACTACTGTCAGAATGATGTAGAATATGATAAAATGCTGTATGTGTAGATTAAATACCATGTTTTTAACATAAGGGTGTACAGCTATATGGATTGAGACTTTTGTTTTACTATCAGTTTTATTCATTAAAATAATTTTTAATGAATTTTCTTTAAAAGGTGTTTTTACACATGTAGTTGTGAAAACTCAGCCATAGGTAATGTAACCAATAAAGCATCAAAAAAGTGGGTAAAACTCACCACAGGTCTAAATCTTAATTGTACGTGAGGGTTGGTGTGTTCATGTCAAAGCCATTTTATACAGTTACATTCAAACTTTAATTAAACAACTTTGTTGTCAATGTATGTTAGTAAAGTGGGCATAAAAATGTGGTTTATAGTCCAATGTTTTCATATTATCTAGTTGTTTATATTATCTAAATAAATTCCCAGTCTTCATTTATCTCTATCGCTTGATGCATCTGTTCTCCAAATTCCTCTTTTAGATTTTCTTTTTATCCTTATATGATCTTCTGAGTGTCCCACCAATTACACATTCATAGTATAAATATTGACAAGTTGAAATATAAATTTCTAGCCTTCAGGCTTCTTGCTTTACTGAAATATAAAAAAACAAAAGTCAAACCAACATGCTGTGCATTTTCTTTTTCATCCTGTTTTCAAAAAATGCCAATAATTCTCTCTGACATTTAATGTTGGATTATTTACAACCAATAGAAAGAGCAGATTCTTCTTCATGAGATTTGTTAGGAGACTAGTTTTATTGGTTCTCGTAATTAGATATTTGGCCTCAGTTTCATTTTTTGCAATTATTTTTCTGCTCTGAACAAGAAATGTTATCTGTTGATTACTTAGTTAGAAAGACAACTAAATACAGTTGTTTTATGATACTTTTTTTTATTGCCTTATGTATGTTTTGTGTTCTAAAATGTTTATTTGAAACTCGAAGTTTTTATTTTAAAAACTAAGTGAGAATAGTGAGGTGTGGCTCGGTTATGGTTTGCACTTGCAAAAATCACCTACTTTGCTTATTTATGACCTGTGGTTAATTACCTTCCACTTTGTTTATTGTTTTTGATGAGATGATCAGTGCTCAAGTAAGTACTAAGCACAAGAATAAAACCATAAATTTACAGGAAATATATGTGACAATATTAACAGTTGAAATTTGAAAATAAGAACTACATGAAACAAGGAAAATTTTACATCAGAAGAAAAAGTTGTTGTTCAATTTATTTCATATGTTCTTCAATTTTTCATTTCACTGTACAGTTAGTGTTAGGGTAGACAAAATAACTGATAAAATATAAATTTATACCAAAAATAAACTTTTGCTATTTTTTTGGGAGGTTCTAAAGGTTATGCAAATGAAATATAAAAACTGTAAGATGAAAAAAATATTTTTTATTTTTAACAAGAAAATCAGCTTTCACTCAGACTGTCAGTGTCTGAGTTAGGCTGACTCAGTAAATATGCAGATAAATATTTCGAAAATATACTTTATTAAAAAAAATTTTTTGCATACAATACACTTCTCATGTTTATTAAAAGCTTGTCAGGTGTTGTGAAGATACACTTAGTAAATTTAAAATTGTAGTAAATATTAATTCTTCATTATGTCATTGGTCCAATGGACTGATACATGCACATACAATTAAGATCATCATTACATTATTGTTTTTATAGGGCTGAGATTCTTTACAGTAGGTGGCTGTGATTTGTTGGCAATAAATTTCAACAATAAATGGACAACGTACAACCTATTTGTTTTAAAATAACATATATTCAAAACAAGTCAAACATATGTACAAAAATTTGATACACTGTTGTTTACCACAGTTGTATCTAGAGCTTTAAATAATTCTCTTTTTTTGTCAAAAGTCCACACAAGCTGGTTCAATTAACTTAGAACCCAATTGACAAGACAAATTATTTCTTCTCTCCTCTGTTATCACAATACAGTCAGTGATAAATTCACTTACATTACCACAGTTGTATCAAAAGCTTTAAATAATTATCTTTTTTTTTGTCAAAAGTCCACACAGGCTGGTTCAATTACTTTAGAACCTAGTTGACAAGACTAATCATTATTCTCTATCTCTGTTGTTACAATACAATCTGTGAAACTTACTTCAAAATCACCACTATAACCGTTGGTTACCATAGTTGTATCCAAAACTTTAAATAATTGTCTCCTTTCCATCAAAGTCCACACATGTGGGTTCAATTACTTTAGAACACCCTATGACAAGACAAATTATTGTTCTCTATCTGTGTTGTTACAATACAAACTGTGAAACTCTCACTTTATAAATTGCCTGTTATGGCTCAACTGACAATCACACAGTAAATTTACTTTCATTAACTTAACTTCTGTACCCGCACATACTTATAGCATGCCACAGAAAAATCTATAAATATAGTTCCGAGTAAGATCACGTCAACAATATTACAAAAGACTACTACACCAATTAAACTTCATACACAATGTACAACTTGTACAAAGTTACAAAATGAAACTTGTTATAACTATTACTTTTAAAATAATTAACTTTTAACAGTCTTGTTATGAGAACTAATAATTATTAAATATTAACTCATTAAACAAACTAAATAATAATTCTTAAACAGTCTTTTATATCCAACAATAATTATTTTTACTTTATTCAGCACTCATGTGAAATTGAAATAATGTAATCTTTGGTTTGGATAGTGATTATTAAAACTTTTATTGTTTTATGAACATTCTAGTTTGAGAGGAAGTATCCAGACATACTGCTTTTTATTGATAATGTTGATGGTATGAAAACCACTACTAAGAGCATGATATGGATTGTTCATAGCTGAACTTGAATTATTCACTGCTGCTTTTGGAAATGTTTCTCTTAAAATTGCCACTGCTTGTATATAGTAATATCCTGGTAATAGCAATATCTCGTTGTTGAAAGTAAAAAGGAACAGGTATATCAAATGGTGTTAATTACTTTTGAAAAATTAGCTATAAATTTTCTTGTATGCAGCTATTTTACTTTATAATGTGTAGTGTGCCCAATAATGTATTATTATTAGTTTAATTTTTGAAGTATTAGGAATATCCAAATGTGTTGACGTTTATTAAAAATAAATATGAATTACAGTCTAATATCTTAAACAGCTTATTAACTGGATAATTCAGAAAAATAAATTAGTAGTATTATTGCTACATCTTCTTCAAATCTTATATAAACATAGGTGCACTGTGATGACAACAGTATAGCTGAAAACATCATGCATATAAAAGCTGAAATTTCGTATGTACTATAAGGAAGTTTTAATTTGAAGGTTTTAAATACTATAAAGGTAACTTTTTTTTTATTTACAGAATGTACTTTCATAGTTCTAGATAAAGAGGATATGAAACAGAAAAGTGAACTAGGTAGGTGATGGAGTGTTATAATTTTTCCCATTCGGATAAATCGAAGTTCACTGAACATTTACAGAATGTTTTTTAGACACATTAAAGTTAAAAAGTTGTTCTCAGTTTATGTGCCAGAATATGCTTTATTTTCCAACTATTTATTTAAATGTCTTAGTCAACAATATTAGTTGTTTGACCTTTCAGAATATTTAAATTTATGTTCATATAACTTTGTGTTCTGTTTACAGACAAGTATAAATTAGGTGTTTTGGTGATGAATGACATTTTTAGTTCTTTATAAAATATTTGGGGGGGTTAGATATATATTAAAATAGTATGATTTATTAGGGACAAACTTTTAGGCTGCTGAAGTTATTTATTGAAACAAACAGATAAAATCCATTAAATAAAATATTTGTGTTAGTCATATCTTTGAATCTATCTTGAAAAAATTATAAACCAACACTATTTTTAGAATAGGAGTGTAGATAAATTGAACTTGATCAAGTGGTGTACGTCTTGGCCTTTAAGAGCCATCAGTCTTTAACTATAATTTCATTTACTGAATTGTATATCAGCAAACTGTTAAAGATGGAAGGCACTAAAAATAAAATACTATGCAATTTTCCTTTTCCATTTTCAGCTTTACATTAGAGGAAATATTCTTAGTTGTCCTGATGTTGTTTGTTACTATATGAAGCAAACATTCTTTACAAAAACAAAATAAATCCTACAAATTATTTGTTGTGTTTTTCTATATTTATTTTTGATTGACATTAGTCATCAATTTCATACTATTTACTACTATGTAATGTTTCATTTTAACTTTAACTGTGGCTTTTAAGTAAAATCTCTGAATATGCTAGAAAAATGTAGAATTCTTAAATTATACTGTAGCATGAGTGATTAATTACACCCATTAAGGTTTTGTTTTGGTGTGTGTGTGTGTTTATTGCTGCTTCTTTTTTCAAGTAGTTTTGGTGTTATTGAAAAGTTACTTTTGTTTAAAGTATATACTGATGATCAGAAGTTATTGTTTACATTAGCTGTGAGTTTTTTATTACACATTTTTGTTTATTTTATTGTACTAAAGATAATTTTTTGATTTATAAAACATTTTAGTTTAATGTTTTTTTAATCTTTGAATGTACAACTTTATATTTTTAAAAAGTAGTTAAGAAACTATGCTTTTCAAAACTATATAAACAGCCAACTTCACAAGATTTTTCTAAATTGATTTTACATTTTAGCCTTGTTTACCAAGGATCTTAATATAATATTTGTGTACAGCACCATCAGTAAAATCTATACTCATTTCAGTGCAATCACTAATATCAGTTGTAACAAGTAGTATAAACATATAGATCCTCAGTAGTTGTGTGAATTTATCAACTAGAATAGAAACCACTTAACCCCAAAGTACTTATTTGTTTTTATATTATTCACTATCAGTGGGATCTACCTACTGTATCATATTGAATAACTCAATGTTTTTTGCCTGATTAACACTCAGTGTAAAGAACCGAGTAAAAAAAAATTGGAATGGTATCAATTGTATTTTCAGCTCAGCTTGATATAGGTTTCATATTACATTGCATATATGACACACTTTTTTGACAACAGTTTAGGAAAAAGTAACTTAATCACAAAGTGTTGTACATGAAGATGTCTATTATATTAACTTTTCTGTATCAGGTAGGTCAAAGTGTGCATCCCACAACCTTTTATACAGTTACATTCAAAATGTAACTAAAATACTTTATTATCAAGGTATACAAATGTACTTGGCATAAAAGCCTAGCTGATAAATCAAATTTTAATATTATATAAATTTTAAGTTCTTAATTTTATAAGGAAATATTTTAAAAAATCCTTAATCTTTCCTAATATGAAAATTGTGACATTTGCTCTCTAGGTCTTCTGTAATTTATTCACCACTCTTCTGCAAAATATGGAATTTAAAGTACATTATTCCTTATAACATTGTTATTACTCAGGCAGAGCTTAATTTTTATAGGCTTCAATCTTAGTTGGTTACAGAGCCATAAACTAGAAAATCAGAACCCATTTGCCACACCCTCTTGTTTCATCCTCTCTTTCACAAAGTGACAAGAGTTCTCTCTAACATTTAATACTTTATTATTTATAACCAATAGAAAGCCAGAGTTTTAATTTATCAAATGACATATTACATTACTTTGTTTTCTGTATGGAAAATTGTCTGTTTTGCTTCCAGTTCAAACTTTATACCCACGAAAAACACATTGAGAAGCTTTGCTGAATTTTTAATGGATCTTATCGCTTAGTTAAAAAGCCAGAAAAAGTATGGTAGTTATAGGACATTGTCTGCTTTTTACGTGTTATAATTCTGTCTTCTTAGCTACAATACTTAATTGAATACAAAATTATTTAGTGTGGTGGTAGGTACCATTAGTATAAAAAGTAGGCTTAAGTTTTATTGACTGTTGACAGCAAAAAGATGATGATCCAGGTGAGTACTATATATTTGTTGTCATGTGTATTCTTTAATTATTATAATAAAAATAACTAAAATGTAAACATTAGAAACTTATTAGGTTAAATTAAGTAAAATAAAGAAAAAATAATAATAATAAATTTTCATGAGATATGCTCGCGAGTAGCCCATACGCTACATAATTTGATAAGGTAATGTGAGCTATGAGTTTGCTGAGTGATTTACAACTTAAGATAATGTGAGTTGTGAGTTCACTGAGTGATTTACAACTCATGGTGGGATTACTAGTTAGACACGGTTCAAAGGGCAATAAAAGAATAAAAGTTAAGAAGAAACAGATGTATACTGTCACAAGCTTTAACCTATTTGGGATAAACAATTGTGATTTCCAGTTACAATTTGCAGTCATTCAAGAAAGAAAAAAAGGTAATTTAGAATTATTTCCTAACTTTTTTTTTATGGTGGTTACAGGGTTGGTCAATTTGAGCGACGTTGTATAGTTATAGTATAGAAAATTACAGATAAAATGTAAAGTTTATCTGAAAAAAACTATTTGATATTTATCTAGGAGGTTTTATGGATTATGCAAATGAAATTTGAAAATTTTCAGATGAAGAAAGGTATTTTTAATCTTAACATAGAAATCACTTTGCACTTGGAGCAGTCAACACTCCGACACCATATAATTGTGGACAAAGTTTTAGTAAAAATACTTAATTAAAAATTCAGATTTTTTTGTCTACAAAAGACTTAATGTTTACTGAAAGCTTGCCAGATTTTGTAAAGATACATTAAGTACTTTCAGAATCATAGTGTGTATACCACTATGGTTATAAGGTTATGTAAAATACATGAACCCTTTATGATAGGATTGAATGAAGGGTGGTTTGAAAATGTGTTAAAAAATCCAAAACAAACTGCAGATAAGAAGATTAGTCTCAAATGAGAATAATCAATTAGTTGAATGTAATTCATTAATGAGCCTGATGATATATTGATTAGTGAATTCCACTATTCACCAAGCTCTATACATGTATAGTCCCCACTTTAAAAGTTGAGTATATAAAACCTAACCTAAGTCATAGGCATAAGATCCATTATACATAATGAATTAAACTTTGAACTTTGTCAATTTCTGACTGAATATGTATTAAAAATTTATTAAAATTATGCTCAGTCACATCTATTTTTTAAAACTACACGTATGTGTGCATGTTTATTGGGATTTATCAAAGTGTCACTCTATAATTAAGACCCTCAGTTTTCATGGTAATGCACAAAAAGTTGAGGTATGTAGTTGTTGTTATGGGTACACTATAATGATTTTAAAATTATATATATTACTAACATGTTACAGATTCAATGATAGGAGACGTTAACTTATTCCTCAACAACCCTGAAAATCTCAAGCAAGGGGAAGTTGAAGTAATGATTGCAGGTAAAGTTATGACAATCTTTAAACTACTTGTAAAGAACAATCAATGGAAGGTTTAACATTTTCTTTAGAAGTGTAATTACCTGAAATAGTCATGAATTTCACCCTTCTATAACTATAAAGGCTATACATTGCAGCCTTTCTTCCTAAGTCTCAAGCTAGCCTGCTTATATTTTTATATGGACTTCTTGGAAGTTAACTTATTCAAACAGGCAATACAGAAACCCGTACAATTGGCTTTGCTTAAGACTGTGTATGGAACATTTGTTGAAGTATGTAACCTGTGTACTTGTGGTATGATACATGAATTTCTGTTTTGCCAGGGTATTTAAGTCTGGTGTTTTTTGTAGTTCTCTTTCTGGCTCTTAAATGCTTTAGAATATCCTCTTGTCGACCATAGTAGTCAGACACTGCAGAAGCAGCAGCCTAGCCAGTTTGGATAACCTAATACTGTGTTTGTTGAATAAAGAACTTTGTGTTTAAAACTACTTATGTGTTAATAATGGTTGGAGATGGCTTGAATGGGTAATGAAGAAAAACTTTAATGTAAGCTTAACATAACACCAAATGTACAATGTTTTGACAAAGTTTTGTCATCATCAGGTACCTGATGCACCTGATGATGACAAAACCTTGTCGAAACATTGTACATTTGGTGTTATGTTAAACTTACATTAAAGTTTTTCTTCATTACCCATTCAAGCCGTCTCCAACCATTATTAGTCTCAAAGTGGGTCCTCATCATCGAATTTGTACTTATGTGTTAGTTTGTTTTATTGTATTGTCCATGTTCACTTTATTCTTCCCTAATAGTCCTAAACCTATGTATGTCAAAACTTTAAAACTTTTCTGCTGAACAGCAATGTACCCAAATACTATAGAAACATTTTGCAAAAGATTTTTTTGTAATTTGTAAGATGTGTTAGCTGTGTACACATTTCAAATTAGATGTCAAATTACTGCTTTTTAGATTATTTTTGATTGCATATATTTTATAATATTTGTTGAATTACTTGTAACTGTCATTATAGTTATATAAGTTAACTTGTATATTTTTATATAAAGCAGACATGCTTTAAGACGTTCTTTGCCTTAATTTTTAGATTTAGATTAAAAAACTGTTAATTTAAAATGTGACCAATAAAATCGAGTAAAACATTTTCATATTTTAAGCAGTAAGTAAGAAGAGTATGTTTTATTAGTTCATTCTGTTAATAGACCTTGTTTTTCTCCACGTGAATTTAGCTACGTTGGTATGTGATATTTGTGGCTGATCATTTATATGTCTAAAAATATAATCTGGAATTTTAAGAATGGAAATATTCATAATAATTGTGAGATGTAATAATTATAAATAAAACTTTTAATATTAAATTGTTTATATTTTCACATACATTATCGGGTCAGGTGTGGCCTGGTAGTTAATATATTGAACTGTGAACCTGAGGATCCATGGCTCATGTTCCATTACTACAAAATTGTACTTTTGGATGTATGTTAAAAGAGTGACAGGCAAATCACACTTTTTTATTAGAATATACTGCTCAAAAGTTGGTGGTGGGTGTTGTTGACTAGCTATCTTTCTTCATATTACAAAATGATTGTTATGGTGGTGGGTGTTGTTGACTAGCTATCTTTCTTCATATTACAAAATGATTGTTATGGTATGAATGTTTTTTCAAGCTGGCGAAGCACAATTACAATTGATTTACTTATCATTAGACATTAGTATTGGGCCTATTACATAGAATGTAGAGGACGTTATGGTGGAAGTTTTGTCGAAATATTGTGAAAAGCAATATTTGCAAATATTCTTAAGCCTAATTAAAGTACTACTGAAATGCAGTTCCTTATTAGTTAAGCACTTATACTATGAAGAAGCCAACTCAAATACTTATTGTTTCAGAAAATTTTAATGGTTTTAACTAAAACAGTTAAAGGTGATATGAAATAAAATATTTTTTTGCAAGTCATGTGCAATTATTTCACTTTAACTAGCAATTTGATGAAAGCTTAAGATTTCCTTGTATGCAGAAGTAACGGGTTTATTAGGTGTTACTTTGATTATTTTAACTTTTTTGCTCACAATCATTTGAATACAAATACTTGATATTATTTCATTTACACTCTTTTGCAACGAAAGGGTAAAAAAGATAGGAAATAAAAAAAATTTAAGTCGTGTCAGATTTCATTGGATGGCATTCTTAACAATCAATCAAGTCTATCAGCTCAAAATTAGGGAAACCTAAGCTAACTTCGTAAACCTTGTGTAGCTTTGCATATTGATCTACACTTATCCAATAAGAACCACAAGGGAAATCAGCATATATATATATGTGTTTGTGTATTGTTCCTACAAAAAGGAGTGTTTATATTGCCTATATATATAACCAGTATTGAACTTACTTTTATAAGTAAACATTTTATTAATCTGAATAATACTTTGCATGTTTAAAACCAATATACCTCTATAGGTTTTGAAGATTCATCAGAATATATTTTTTACAAGACTGTTGATTCTAGTTTAATACATATTATATGTGATTAATATAGACAATTTTTTTTTGTGACTAGAGGAGTGTAAACGTGGCCAAGGTAAAGGGAAGGAAGCTTTACTGTTCATGTTACGATATGGTGAGTCCATTGCCAAAAGAAAATTTGCAGAACATAAAGTACTATCGCAAATGTGAAGTTTAGATGGAAGAATAGTGTAAAAACTTATTCAGAGTTGTTTCTTTGATATCAAAAAGGCTTGTATAAAATTTAGAAATGATTTACAAAATATTGTTTGGTTATAAGTGTGGTATTTGAAAATTACACTAGTAAAGGAACTAACCTTATTCATCACCATCTACTTACTATTTACTGTTTATGCTAGAATTGAACCTTATGATTGCAAGTGTTTGAAACTAACATTCTACCTTGAGAGCTTTAGTATTATAAAACTATTCAAAGAAAATAGTAATTTATTTTTTATAGCCAGAGACAGTTATTTTCTAAAAAGAATTTTTCTTCTTGTAATAGGAACTTTAGAAAACATAGTTGTTTTATTTATGTAACTAGTCAGTTGCTTTATTACTTGAAACTAATGTGAACATCCATTTAATAAGGATTGTTTCACTCTTTATTTACAATGCTAAAACTCCTGAGAATTCAATGTATATGAGGTTGATTTGTCAGTGAAAGGTTTATTCTTATCACTCAAACTGCTTGGATAACCTAGATCAGATGCAGATGTTCAAGAAAAACTAAATGATTCTACTTTGTGTTTTGTCATATTTAATTTGTATAAAGCAGTTTAAATATCTTATTATAATGAAGCTTGCGATGTATACGGCCAAAACTTGGATCTCAGAAACTACTGCACCTATCATCACCAATCATAACTGGGTAATTTTTTATAACTAGGCAGTATTTTTATAGCTGAACAATAAATAAAACAATTGAAATTTCCACAAAAATATTTTTCAGATTTAACCGATAAAAATTACAAAAAGGAGTAAGTTTTAACTATGCCCCCCAGTGGCACAGTGGTATGTCTGCGGATTTACAACACTAGAATCCAGGTTTTGATATCTGTGGTGGGCAGAGCACAGATAGCTCATTGTTTAGCTTTGTGCTTAATTACAAACAGTTTCTAATATAAAACAATCAAAAACAAACTTACAAATTTTTTTGTTTTTTTCTTTAGTGAAAATCTCATGAGTGTTACAACAGAAAAGCAAGGCACTTTCATTGATAACTGTGTCTACAAAGAA